TCATAACACAAGGCATAAGCGTCGAAATTAGGCCATTCAAAGCAATGAGTTACTTTTGACATATAATGCGTATAACCGCGGTTACCAACGAAAAACAATCACGATCGGCTGTAACGCTCGATCGTTGCAAATATGTTAAATTTATATAAAGCATAAATGTCCTATGAGAGCCATTTTAAAACACGAATACAAGGGTACTCCCAACGGGGATAACTTGGGTCCAAGTGATTCCCAGTCAGATGCTACGACTGAGCAAAGGAGAGACCCACTTTGACTAGAAACAAACACAGACCTGTCATCTTGAAAGATGTTTTTTTTAGCTCACGAGTGTAAGTGCATTACGGGCCCGTTCAATGCGTTGAGGTTGTTCTCGTAGCTTCTCCTTTGCTGGCATTTATAGTGAAAAGGGTCACAAATTTCTGCAACTGCCTTTAAAACAGTTTTTTTTACTTGTCTTTGGTGCCACATTGAATATTTGTGCATCACTCAATTCCGTTTCTTTCTTCTTTTTTTTTTTTTTTTTGAGTGAAAGGGTTGTAATTTTATGTTGCATATTGTGCATGGTTTCCCGTCTTCTTTGGGAATAAAAATTTACGCTTGCGTCTTAACAATCTGACTTAAATTCAAGATTCTGGTAAGTCAGGGACGACTTGGTGGTTCAAGCAACCACCTAATACGAACGAAATCGCTAATATTAGTTATCCGCCCATTTAGAGAGAAACCGCCTATGTTCCTATAGTTATTATAGTGAACGGAAGCGCCTAAAGAGGAAGCCGAGACCAACTTCATAACAGCCACTAGACGCTCTCACGGTCCAGCGAGCCTCTACGGCCTATGGTAGGGGCCACATTTTATGATATGGTATATAACTCTATGATACAACCTGTTTAGCTTCTTCGACGGCGCGGTGCTACAGGTTCGCGTGCGCTGAGTGCTAGAAGGCTATCCGCTCTCGCACGCTCATGATGTCTATTGTAGTAGGATGGATCACGGATCGAGGCTTTATTTTTCCTGGGGTCGAGTGGCACCGCCGGTGACCGTTCCTTGGCGTGCATTGAATCCTAAAGAAAAAACGTGAAAATATGATCTTTTACTGATTTGTGTTATATTTTTGGACGACCAATCTTCGAAAAGTTTTCTGGGAGTGGTGAGAAAGTTTAGTGTTGTAATGCCAATACCATATTTGCTCGAGCAATAGCTGTGCTTCTTATTAACAATGAGCATGAGTCCATTTTCCAGCAGTACAGACCTACACCCAATCATCGCCTTCTGCGTAAAAACGCAGAGAATGCCGAGGCCGGGAACGCGATTCTTCATAAAAATGCGATCTGAGCAGATGGCGTTTTTCCGTGAATACGTTGTCTCTGTCCCGTAAATCGCTACCATTTTTCTGTTGATCGCGGTGCATCACAATCCCAGTGCTCCGCCGTAAAGGCCCGTTCACACACATGCGTCCGTAGCGACTGGAACGACCGGAACAACCGAAACGACGGTTGCAAGGGTCTGCAACGGTCAGTTGCCATAGCGACGGAGGGACGCACGCACGTGTAGTTCACGACGCAAGGAGTTGGAGCGAGCCCAACTTTTCCGATGCGTTGGAAACAACCGAAGCGACCACAACGATAGACCAATTACAGGTCGAGGAGGATGGGTCGCGCGCGCTGCATGCCGGTCGCGGGCCGGCTCCTTCTGTCTGCAAACATGGCGTCGGGGGTGATCGTCGACAGGTACGGCGGGGTGAAAGCTCATCGTTTCGCGTAAAAGCGCTAGCCTTGACTGTGAATTTTCGTTGTGTGTCGCTATGATAACCCAGCACGTATTAGAAGGGAAGATCGTGCGGCGAAGTCGAGGTTGCACTCTCAAAACAGCAGAAACGCCCGTGCCGTCGTGTTTGTTTACTTCGACTACAGTGGTGCTTTCTAAGCATCTGTGTCCTCGAACATCGCCCAAATTTCTGATTTGGCGCATTTCATGCGTGTGCTCAAGTAAAAGGTATTACTGGCGCGTACCGTATAAAGGATGCAAATTTTCACGCGTTTTTATCACCGGAGAAAAGTGATTAGTGATAGCAATCCTGAACGCTCGCAACGAACGTCTATCTGATTACCAAATCATATTTCTACGTTGCTATATCGCTGATAAGATTACATCGTCTTTTATAATCGTAGAAAAGGCATGTGGCGACATTTGTACTATCGGCAAAGTCGTGTATTAGAGCCGTGATCGTCCAAGACGGCGTACTCCATCTTTTTCTTTTCTTTTTTTAATCCACTGTATCCTGCAAGCCTATCATGGAAAAAAAAAACATTAATAAAGCTTTAGGCTATAGAAAACTGTCTGTCTGTTACGGAATTGAGTGGCAGTGCGTTCCCTTTTTAGAGGCACCGCTGAAACAGCTGACGGCGGCGTAGAAGCGGTCGCCGTGCTGCCGATCCGCTGCGCTTGTTGCAGCGGTTGCATGTGTGTGTACGCGCGGCGCAGAGCGGTCGTTCCGGTCGCTCCGGTTGCAAGGGACGCTTCGCGCTCGTTGTACAGGTCTGAACCAGCCTTTCTGCAAGCCCATGGTGTTTATATATATATATATATATATATGTATATAGTCACTACAAGAAAGATTTTTCGGGGGTGAAATACTTTTTCATCCTCCACTAACTTCCCTCACGAGCAGCCCGTGGGAGCCACGCCGTCGTGCTAGCATGCCAGAGGGCTCGCGGATTTTTTTACCGAGCCTGAGAAACGGCGTAAGCACGACATCCTGTGTCATCTGTGTTCTGATACATCTTGCACGGTGTAAATGCCTCCTTGCTTGTGCTAGTCTTTTTTTTTTTTTTATCGTTTCTATTTAAAGGTTAGGTAATTATTTTTTGAGAAAAGATCGCTTGAGGCTATTGGAACCTCGCTAAAATCCGTCGATAGAGATTGGCACGCTTTCACATAATTTAGTAACCTTCTCAATAGTTACTGAAGTCTGCAAATTCTGTATTCCTGTGAGCCCTGATAAAAGTTTCTTCACAAGATACTTCGCACAAGCTTCAAAACGTTTCTTTCATTCATTCCTCCCGTAGACTTGCGTCTATCTATTATACCTGGTGTCCAGCAATGGCCGCCGGTGGTGCCACCGTCAGGCTCCCGATCAGCGGTCTACCCTAATGCAGTAGAGAGCAGCGCGCACAGTACGCCGCCATTATCCACCTGCAGCTGCTTTCCAGCGAGCGCGAGCGCAATCCATGCTGGGAGACTGTTCCGGCGAGATGGGACGCTAAACACGCGAGTGAACGACGCGTTCCACCATCGCCGCTGGCGCGTCTTACAACGTCTCGCGACGAAAGCGATCGCCTGCAGGCGGGGACCCCAAGACCAACGAGTTTGCCGCTTTGCGGCGTCTCCAGTCTCGCTTCAGCGTGTTTGCGAGATACGGCAAGTCGGGGAGTCACTTAACGATTACGTCGAGCGCATGCCTCTTCTTCTAGGTGGCTCCAAGGAACTAAGGAGGACGAGACGAGAGCGCGCGTGGAGGTCAGAAAGCTGACCACTTGTTCGAACGATTAGTGGGTGGAACCATAGCCTCCTATACACAGACAAAGCCTGGCAGATCGCCACGAGAAGCGGCCGTCGAAGTTGAAAGGTGGAGCGGCAGACAACGGATGAGAGGAGAGCCACGTGAGTACCTAACATCCGGCTGGCGTTCAAATTCGGCTTAAAATCCCGTCATTTTGGAAATTTCAAGCGCAGATGCGCGGATTTTGATATGCAAGTTATCGTGTAATGCTAAGCTCGGTAAAAAGTCTAACCGGGTCCAATAGCGCTGTTACCTGGGTGCAAATAAACAAAAATGGAAAAATCGTTCAATAGTGGTAGGTCTTCCGACGAAAAGTAAATCTGGATGCTGTAGCTTGTTTACTATACAAATCTTGTACTGATGTAGGCCTTTAGCGACAATGAGTGGAAGTCTGGAATAATAAATAAAAACGTGCTCTCCTGACGCAATACACGCAGTGGTTGAGGGTAATACTGCCGGCTGACTCGACTGCAATTGAAGAAACGGAACAACGATACTCTAGTTTATTTTCAAATAAAAGAACAGAGCGCTAGATGCTGATTTTGGGGTGGTTATAAATATTGTAAGAACGCGAACCACTTCACAACGGCACCCACGAGTGAGAGTTCGATGTTCGGTACAGCCCGCCGGTACAGCCCAAAGACGGAGAGCGGCAATCTCCCGGTTTCTCGTCTGCTAGCGGAATCCGGCGTCTGCCTTCTCTCTCGTTTTACCCCGCCGAACCTGCTGAACTTCCCGGATGTAGGGAGAGGGCGCTGCGGTCGAACAAAATGGCGCCGCCCTGAGAGCGCTAAATGAATTGGTCTATACATGCCGCAGTGACGACAAGAAGACAAACAAACAAAAACTCGACGTTTTGCCGTAGTAAGGTTAAATATACAACAAGCAAAAAAAGTGTCTTCTTTCTGTGTCCACTTCTCATTTTCTTCTATTTGTTAATTTTTTGACACTGAAGTCTGCATTGTTCTCGTGGGTCGTTTCCCGTTCTGCGTTGCGCATCAGTGTGGCCATCTTTATTTGCGTAAAACCACCCCTTTTGTTTTGAGGATTCTTTTTTTTTTTTCGGGGGAGGGGGGGGGGGGGGGAACTCTAGGAAGGTCACTATGTGCGATTGTTTTTGTGGCCAGTTGTGACTTGTGCTTGTGTATAACTCCACACCTGCGCTGTTATTTCGAGACATGGATAACCAACTCGCCCAAGCCGCCGTCTTCTCCAGCTCATATTGGTCGATATATAGTACACTGTGACCTTGTTATCTAAGAGTTGAACAACGTTCTTGCGCCTGTTACTATAGGAAGCAGAGTAAAGGCCGGCATCAGCTTTACTGTTTTATGTTAAATACGTTCTATCGGGTGACGTCGGAGCGTACCAAGCTGTAGATTCCTTGTTGAACGTTTTGACCAAGTTAAGAATCACCACAAAGGAGCTCGTGAATCAGGAGTGGATTTTAAAACAGATCTTTATTTGGACAAAAAAAAATTGCCAAGTCTCACGTTAGAGATAGCCGAGTTTTGGAACTGTGGTACGAAAGGTATCAGGGACAAGAAAACACCGTAGCATATTCGAAGATGCAAGAGAATTCAGCATAATATACGAGTAAAAATATTGAACAGCTGCGGAAATGTATTTTTCATCACATGCCCCTGTGAAGCGGAGCGATGGACGATTTTCCGCATATCGGGTATCGTCTACCGACACACTGATTGATGGAATCATTTCGTGAGAAAAAGGGCTGATACAATATTTTTCCCTGTCATGTGGCGTGACCACTTTTCCATGAGTATAGTGATCATGACATCTTCGCATTACACTTGTGACGTCGTGTCCATTGTGCCCAATCTCACTTCCTTCGTGGTTGAGGCTTTGTGTGCATTGTGGAACATAGTCCGGCTATGCTAACGTATCGGGACATTGGTTTAGAGTAGAGCGAGCAAACTTCCGCATCGGGACTATCTTTCCAAAACACTTTTCGGACCTAGCCATAGTTTTCCGCATCATGCCAAAGGCAACGTAATACAGCTAATGTTTTAGATTCGCCGAGCAGTCCGAGATGCCAAAAGAGCATATCGATCCTTCTAATCGTTGAGCATGTCTTGACCGTTCAACATTTTGCCTGAGTAAACATTCCAACCTGTTAGTCAAACAAACTGTATGAGTTGTGTTATAGTTCCTGACAGAGCGAGAACGGAAGGGCGTGTTTTTTTAACGCCCGTCCTCCAGCGCGTGCCTCATGCTTTCCAGTGTGCTTCGAATGCGCGAGCGCGTCACCCGAGGTGCGCCGAAGCGTTGTGGAAAGTAGAAAGCTACCGCTAGAGGCGGGACAACTTTAGCTCATCCCTGCCGTTCTCACCTTGTCAGCGACTACATAAAACTTTTTCTAGTCCATTTCGTCGACCGGAAGCTGCGACGGTTAAAATTGCTCGCTGTTATTTTTAGGAAGGCACAAGAGGCCAGCCCTTGTTGGTACCTTACGCATCCAAACAGCCCGTCACAACGCTTTGTATACCAGCGTAAATCGGCAACCCCTGAGGGACGGACTTGGAAGAAGGCTTCGCACGAATATCAGGGTAGGCTCGGTCTCGTCTTCTTATTTTTGGTGTTGGACTGTCCGTTGAGGCTGCAGTGGTAGAGCACATTGACCCTCCTGGCGTCACTGGCGTCCATGTCCTTCTTGTCGAAGACCTCGGCCAAACGCGCCCCGTCCTTGGCCAGCATGGTGCTGAGGCCGGGGCCCCTGGCAAATGCCGAGGAGCCGTACAGCATCACGGAGTCGTAGTCGAAGGGGGATATCAGCCGATTCTGCCAGGGCTCGAGCCGCTGGAACTGCGACACGCTGCCTGCACAGAGAAGGAGGGGACGGGTCATCAGAGGCTTCTAAGCTACAGACACGCTGCTCATGGATCGTACGAAATACACGCTGCCTGCTGCAGACAAGAAGACAGAAGTATCTACGGACACGCCCTGCTCCGAAAACGTCTGCTGGCAGTTGTGACAGGACCGCCAATGAAGGAAGAGAATGCATGCAGGCTGTCCTTTCCATGATGCTTCTGATCGCCGGCTTAAGGCTGACTCCTAAACTACTCACTGAAAGTGGTCGGCGTTCCTTTGATTTAAATATTTCGTCAGTCGCATTAGTCGCTTGTAATTCAGTAATTATAAATAGTATCACCATGTAATATACAATGCGCCTCGCGATTTTGTCTTAAATGCTTTGATCTTATATAAAGTTGTATTTATGCAGACAGCTACTGTCGTGCGTTGGAAATACCAATAAATGTCGATTTATGACACCGAATATTCTTAAACATCAATGAAGTAGAGCAATAAGCCGGCAAGCTGCAAATGTGTCCCCTCTCCCGGATCATTAACAGTTTATGATTTATTGATTCATTGATTGGAGAAGGCCTGCAGCCCCTTGAAGCCATTATTGCAAAAAGTGTATTTCAAAAACCCCGGCTGTTCGAACATCTTTCTTGTTGTGAATCGTTTCGATTCACAAGAAACTAACAGTTGCTGCTTTTCATTTTTGTGATCTACCTTTTCAGATGCATGGAATTGACGTCGAATATAATTTTCTTTCGAAATATGTGTAGTTTCAGGCTGATAGTAATTACAAATTTCGGGCACAGGTTTTCTTGTTTTGCACAACGATGTAGATAATTTAAACATAAGCTTTCAGAACTAATTCAATGCAATGACTTTGCACTAACCTTTTTTTTTTTTTTCTGAAATCATTTTGTCCCAAGGTTTTATTCTATGCACGCTTGTTTTAGAATTGAACGGACAAATGAATTGCACTAAATCTTTCTCGCCTTTATTGAACAATTCCGAAAATTTAAATAAAAAAGCACAGCATGGGGTTTACCTTATTCGGTACAGGAATATATTTAATATGCCTATGCCAAAATAAGCCATTAAAAGAAATACCTATGTTGTAAAAACCACGATATAGACCCTAACTTTGTAAAAAAAAATTTTAAATATAAACATGTTATTTTCTTTATTGAGTCCTATTTCTCAAACCTCACACGTCTTTGATATACAATGCATCTATAATTCGACTTTCAAAAAATCTCCCTCGTTCATAGTGAATGCGTACCCCAGCATTATACGCAACGACGCATTAGGCTTGCATGTAGATGCATATACATAATTAATAAAATCAAAAGTGAAAATTTAAAGCGAAAAATATTGAAACAAATATTTTTTTATACATAAAAAAACTCCGAGAGTACTACCAAACGTGCGGGATACCAAATGCTACAGTCGCGGTATTTAGAGAGTGACCGTTCAAAAGGACCCATTGTTCTCCGTCACACACTTAGTTTTCAACCGACGTTATAAGACATTCAAATCGTCTACATATGCTCTACCGTGTTCAGAAACAATTATTGGCTGGATCACAAGCTTTATAAAGGTTCATAAATATACAATACACCTCTTTTCGGTTTCTGAGAAAATCGTAATGTCGGAATAAAACTAAAACCTAGTATTGTACTAGGCGTTATTTTTAGAAAATTAAGCTCTTTTTTTTTTCGAATCCATATGCGAATAAAGTAATGAATAACTTTACGTATAATAGAGGTCAATAAGATTGTTCGATACTTACACACAACATTGTTGTTACCGCCTTTTTTTTAATAGAAACAAGTGCAACCTTAAAGTTATACCAGAAAGCTCGTGTTCAGACAGTCTCTTGGTGAAAATAATAGGTGTGTAGTATAACGTTACAGATGCACCGCTTTCAAGAATCATGACAGAGCCACCATCAGGATCTAGCCATAAGAAATCATTCGATAAATTGTTTTATCCAAAAGCATGGCATCATATGACTGGCAACAAAAAGAATAAAACAAACTCCGGAGTTTGTTTTATTCTTCTGCTGCCAGTCATTGTTACCAACACGCTCTTCAGTTAATGGCATCGTAGTCTACTTTTAATATATATATTTTCATGAATTACCGATTCGCCTACAGTTGGCAATACTTCATCAGCAATGGCTTCGTAATCACCTATTTCAAAAAATTTCTGCGACATCCTCAATGTGTATTTAGTAAATTTCACAAAAAGCGAGTCGAGAATATTGTTTTCACTGGTAAGCGAATTTACGCACTCTTTCAAATTAAAAACGTTCAGAAGACTTTGAAATTATTTGCACAGATTTTCATTACCCACTCTCCCATTCCCGTGATTCATTCACAGTTTTAGGAGGCTAGAATCAGTGGCGTAGGCCTTACCGAAAAAGCAAAAGTAGCGAAGTACGTTACTCTTTACTTCGACATAAAAGGCGCGCGTTACAGACCTAAGTTACCTCAAATGTCAAAGGAACGCCTTACCGTTAAGGCGTTCCTTTAGTCCTTTAGCCAGAGTAAGCAATCCGCCTTACGGATTGCTTACGGATTGTTAAGGCGTTCCTTTAGCCAGACTAAGCAATCCGCCTTACGGATTGCTTACTTTGGTCACTGACAGCATGGCGTGGCTATTTCCAAAGCAAGAAGTGTGAACGTAACGTAATGGTCAGAACAGGGGCGCCCCCGCCCCCCTCTCCCTCTCTCTCTCTCTGTTCCGACGCCGCCGTTACAATCACCCCACCAATTATCGCGCTCTTATTCGGCTTGTTATTAATAGCTTCTTGTAAACCAATAACGTATTCACGACCTCATCTTGGTGGTTGGCTGGGTTGGGACTGCACAGTAGACCCTTTTCAAATGTCCGCCAGGCAACATTAGCGGTCGCCATTGATTGGCCACGAAGCGCGTGATTGGCCCCGAGTCCTCGCCGAACGCTGACCTCACTCGCAGAATGAAATGGCTAACTGACCTGCGAATTTTCAGTGACCATACCATTCTTTTTTTTTTTTTCCCGCAAATACGAGAGTAACGCAAAATGTAAGGTTTCCTTATTTTTTTCCTCTCATGGTTATGATTGGGTAAAGCATTAAACAACATCTTAAAATCTGTATAATTCAATCGGGAATGAGTGCAGAGGACAGCAACATCGTTACAGTGTCGAACAATTGTGGCGCCACCTGGCCACATTCATGAATAAAACCTTAAAAAAGAACAAGTTAAAGGGGCGGTGCAACGATTTTCGGACTTCGGTCAAAGATTTCTGGAAGTTGCCCCCTGACACTTCTGAAGTAAAGAACAGAAAACCGATTTCGCCTGCGTGTCCTAGTTGTTGCGTAAAAAAAAAAGATAAAGATTGGCATTTCGGGCACCCCTCAACTCACTCCCAGTCTTCAGGGTCACACCTGGTCCCCCTCCTAGTAACGTCATTCGGAGTGCCGTGTAGCTTCCCGTGTGCTATCTCGGAGTACGCTTCCCCTCCCTCTCTCTGCGTACATTAGCGGGCGCTATGCTGCAGCTTAGAGCCGAGCGAGGTCACGTAATCTTTCCGCCGTAGTTCCTTCGGCTGCCACTTGGGGCTGCAGGTGGGGCAAAAAGCTCGACTTTTGCTTTGCGATTATGCAGCGGAATCGCGACATTTTTAATGAAGGAAGTGTTTTCTCTATCCTCTGGGACACGATAAACAACGTAAAAATGACGAGATGCAAATTCTTTTAATCATAAAATCATTGCACCGCCCCTTTAACATTTGCAGAGCAGAGTGCTATCATTTGTCTTCTGCAGATGTGAGGAATTAGGCACTTTATAGTAGCATAAGTTTTCTTTTATCAACTGTCATGATAAACTAGAAGATGTAAGTTTGTGTATGTGTAATTTTTTTTTTTTTAATTCGTTAGCATTAGTGCCATGGTACATGCGCTGACATTGGACTGGTATGGAGAACACAGATATAAAGTTCGGAACGTCGCCAACGGGAGGACGCCGCAGCCAACTGGATGTGGAAACTGGCTAGGAAGCACCTTCCGCAAGCGCCGACAGATGGCGGCAGGGTGCATACACGAGAGGCTAGGCGATAGGACGCGTAGCAACGGAGGCCGCACTGGATTGGATGGTTATATGGAACGACGCCGTGACGTAACACCAAGCAACCGAAGATCGCCGGCGACGTGCCCCTTCGTCAATTTCGGTGCCGCGCAGTGAGGGACGGCGAAGCATTAACCCGCATTGGGCCAGGTATCACCCTACATCAGATAGAAGAGGGGTTTCGGAAATGTTCACCCCGCGAAAAAGTGCTGACAGGCTGCATTCACCATGCTTTATTATTTATAACCCTTGTTCGAAATCCTAACGCATTTCTTCGAAAATCAGCGTGACGGTCGCTGCAATTGTGACCCATATTGTTTTGGTTTGTTTTTATTAGTTACGAAACCAAACGCCTGTTACAATAATGGGGGCACTGCCTCCCCGTCACCGCTGTTTCGCGCTACCTCCACAGCGGAGGAGACGGTGATGGTCACGTTCTGGGAAAGTGAAGGAGTCATCCTCTCCCACTGCATCCCGAAGGGCACGACAGTGACGGCTACATTAAAAAGAGTCGTCATAGAAACACCACTTTTTCCCTCATTAAAAAAAAGCGTCAGCTGAGTTCGAGACTAACTCATCTGTCATTCTGTTCCTTTCTCTTCCACTTTAAATGGCTCTCGTCTCAGGTGGATTAAGAAAATGGTAAATCTACACCGGCTCGCCTGCGTCACCACTGTTTTAACGAAAATGGTCGCAGTTGTTATCTCTCATCACGACAGTGCTCCGGCTCACTGTCCGACACTTCTACAAAATGTTCTTCACAAAAACACCTTTGAAGTGATTTATCTTGCTCCCTGCCCGGTTATATAGACAGAGTCCCAAACAAGCCATCGCAGCGGCCATGCAATGTGGCGTCGACGTGGCCAAATATGTCTACACAAATACACGGTGATTATATGAACAAG